TTGCGACCGGTCGCATAGGGTTCCGTCGTGTACCACCGCTTCAGGTACGGTCCTAGCTCTAAAGGGTTTATTATATCCTTTCCGACCATCCCCGCTATGTTGACTATGTGCGCCATCCTTAACTTGCCCTGTTCTTTGGCTCTTCTTGGATGTGGTGTTTCTGTCCATGTTCTGACCTAATAGTACTGTGACCGGATTTCGGATACTTGTGCATGTTCTCTCCTCCTACATTTTGAGGCAGCCTTTGGAAGTTTGAATGCTAACCGAGCAATGACTCTCAATCAGGCCCGCAAGGAGGGATGTATGTTTCATATGTTGCCTCCGAGGTTGCATACCATAATTATTCGCACAAACATAAGAAGCCCTAGATACGCATATGCAAACAATCCGGCATGCATTTGTGGGTGTACCCATCCTCAAGGCTCATAAAATCAATAAAATCATGCATTTGCACGTGGCATGCTCAATTTCTGCCATACAATATCATGTGTACGTACATTCGTAGTGTCATGTTTCATCAATATGGGAATCATTTACACAATATGGTTATTGCCTTTGGAAGGTTGATAAAGTCTGATGAGGTATTAGTAAAATGAGCTCATCATGGCATTTGTCTACGAAGGCCAATTGGATACACCCCGCACATTGTAAAGCTGAGTTCTAGAGCTTGCAGTCACTTTTCAGAAAACCGTGAAAGGACTACATGTCCTTCAAAAGTATCAGCACTATCATATTGCTGTCACGGTGGAGGCTTTCAACTACCTTAAAATGTGAATGCTTCAATGAAGAATGGGGAGAGATTTTCATCCGAACAAATGGTGTTTGGTCATAAAGGAGAGAAGGGTAGGTGGTAATCACCATGAATTCTTTCACACATAGAATATGATATAAAATGATGATGTCTTTGCAGGAGGCAGACACTAGGTTGAACTGGGGGTCAGTGACAACGGCAACGATGAGATAATGTACGTTAGTTATCCATTCTTCCTGTGCAATGCATGCTAAGGTATATCTACATATCCATATGCCAGTGTCATTATTCCATCACTTGTGATGAAGCGCTTGGTATCCAGTGGACACAGTGTGACTTTGTTGGTAGTTTCGCTGTAGATCCTGTGCCTGTGGCTTCGTAGATTGGTCATTTCACGGTGAAAGACTCGCTGGTCCAGCAGACATATCCTGTAGTCGTCGTGATTGATTGTCTTTTTCAAGACAGACTTGTTTACACCTTTGGCGCGTTTACCACTCGCCTCACCCGTGTAACTGTACACCTTGGAACGGATTCCAACAAATTCTGTCATAATTTTGCCTCCGAGTTCGTCTTTGAACTTGCCGACAACCTTTTTGTTCTTCTCACTGTAGCAAGGGTGGTCCTTCGCATAGTTGCTGGTGTCATACAGTTCGATATTCTCACGTATGTCCTCAAACAGATCATCTGTAAACACTTGGATGATCAGAGAATCTGTGTCAGTGTACAGCAACTTGATGTTGTGCCGCCTTTTGAGATGGTTGTAGTAGAAATCGTACATCAGATGTTTAGCCAAATCGAGGATTGACATACCGACGTATATAGGCTTGTTCAGGGTAGTTTTCACCTTCTGGCTTTCGATACCAGCCAAGTCAGGATTGAAGATAACATGGCGCTTGTATGTCGGCTTGTTAATGCAGCACATGTTTCTCCTTATTCATCAGGTTGGGCACCAGCTTATCACAATCCAACCCTCCGGTGTGAAGCTCTTGCACCATGTCTCGTTGATACGGTGAGAGCATACTCTCGGTAACCTTCAAATGCTCAGGGGCTAGAGGATAGTCGTTATGATTTCGATGAAGTTCCGCTGGGTACACCAAATCACACTCAACAATGTAGCCTACATCACTGTTCGCTTCTGTGCCCAAGATGGTGTCGAGGTCCTCATTGATCCAGTGGAAATTAGAGACTGGAAGGTACTGTGACATTGCCCATCCATACAGATTGTTAGCATCCAAGTATTGGATATAGGATGATGGTTGCGTTTCGTCGAAATCGTCCATATGCTTATTGTTCGCCTTGGCATATCGATGACTTGCCATGCTGATACCGCCTCGTTTGCCTTTCTCGACAAAAAAGTATTTGTCAACATCGGTCAACAATTCCAGTTTGACATTGGAGAGTTTGAGCAAGGCATCCCAACTATACCCCGGCAACGTATAGTAGTTAGCAGGATCCAGATGGTATATGTTCAAAGCGGTCTTCCTGAAGTTTTCGAACACATCAGCAAGTAGGTATACGTCAGCTTGCAAGTATATGTCATGGTAATGTGCCAGATCTTCGCATTCAAACGCTTGCCATACATGCTGCGCCCTTTCATACTCCTCCAGGCTGATTCCAGAACCTGATAATGTTGAATGAAATGACTCTCGAGATGGCAGCTCCGTTTCATTGAATCTTGCAAACGAGTCCATGTACTCATAAGGATACACTCCTTTCTGGCTCATCAAATCCGGCTTTTCCAGTGTGTTAGTGTACACCAAAGCCTCCGGTGGTGTGGTCTTCACCAATTTGTCGAGAGAGGCATTTAGAAACGCCAAACTGTCGATGAAGCGAAACTGCCTCCATGTGAAACTGATGTACTTTTCCATGTTGTTTGGGATCACTGAGATACCGCCCACCTGTCTGGACTTGGACTTGCCATACTTATTCACATAGTCCACCGTCTCCACATCCGTCACAACACCAATGAACGAAATCAGATGGTGAGCGTCGTAGTGCTTCAGATTGTGAAATACTATGGGAATGTGCTGGAGATAAGGGTGAATCCGTAGCTCCAAGTTGCATTTACTATGCGCTGCTCCACGGTACTCTCCTGTAATGTGATCATGGTCGTGCACTTTCCTTTGAGACACCACACACCCGTAACACCAGGCATCTACAAATTGACCATTGGAGTCGAAACCCTTCTTCTTGTAGACCCTGCAATCTTCGTCAAATTCCACCTGGCATTTTCCACAGTTCGAGGATCTGTGGTACGTCTCCAAGCTTCTCGTGTCATAGTACCTTCCAATGGTATGGCTTGGCCGCAAATCCAACATGACGTAGCATCCGCATGCGCTCGACATTCTACATCACTCAGCTGCGCAGGATCGAAAGCGCTATTTCTTGATTCCATCTCCACTTGCAAATCCCGTTCCTTTGACTCCAGCCATCCAAACAGAATCTCCATCGCGTCCTCGCCTCGGTAGAAACATTCGTCTACTTTTTCACCATCACTCCGTATCACCACAGCAACAAAACTACACGGCTCGTGAATACCGGTTCGGACCGTCCCATTTCCTGCCTGTTCGTGAACAGGTTGAATTATGGACTCCAAGTCAGCGTAAATAATATACGGGCATTTCATCATGTTCTTGAAGTTCTTGAATTGGAGAATGGGCTCGTTTCCATCCTGGTCCTGGTCGGGCATCACAATCCTACTAGGGGCGGTTCCAACGCCATTACAATCTTCCTTGTGCCGTGTCAGAGCGCTCTCTGTTTTATGGGAAGATAAGCACCTTTTGCAAAAGTACTTGCGATTGGCTCTCTTGTTTTGGTCGAATAACAACCGATTGAAATCCTTGATCCAGCAGTAGTGATATTTGACTTCTTCCTTATCGTGTATCAAGAGTATGCAGATGGGATCCTCGCATTCAGAGATGTAAAGGGGATGCAGGCCTTCATCATATCCATACACATTGACGCCCAAATGGTTCAGCTTCTCAACTTTGGGAATATCACTCAGTTTTACAGGGAACGTGATATCTGCGAAGTCCAAATCAGCATCGAAGGTAATGTATTTCTTCACACGTGTCGAGTTCTTCTTGACCGGATGTAATGCACTCAATAACGCCCACTTAAGGCATTGGTCGTCTTTGTTTTGAACGTTGATGATGGCCTTTTTAGCCTTCAAGTATGGCGGAAGATCGATGTAAGAACCAGCTTTCATAGGCTGATATCGTGCAATGTTTAATTCCATGCTGAGAAATCTGTCGATGATCCATCCAGAACCTTCGTTGATCCATTGCCCCACCATTTTCTGTACATCTGACATCATCTCGTTAGTGATACCAGCAATCTGTAATTCGTTCAACAGGACCTTCGTCTTGGATCTAAAATGAGGAGATTGGTTGATAACCTTTCCCTGGTTCTCTTTCGACATCCGAATGTTCACTACCAGCATCACCTTGATTCCATTATTCCTCTTTATTTCCATTTCCATCACCTTGCGAATGGCCGCATAATTCGCATCCAAACTCACCACGAGATCCAAGTCATTTACATCCATCTTGTACGTCTTTAGCGCACCTCGTCGCGCAACATCAACCAATTCAAACCCATCATCACTTTCTCTAGCGCGTTTCTCCGGTGGTTCATCCTCAACTTTAGCTCCTGGATCATAATGTCTTTTCATCTGGCGAGGAGCATCTAGCTGACGGCTACTGGCGTCCATTGTTGTCCCCTATGTCAAGACAGTCAAATCGATTGAAAACCAGCATTCGTTCCGTCAGTCAGAAGAGCTTCTTCGCCACGAATATCTGAATCATGCGACACATTTTCCTGCCAACTGCGTCCTCTCAATCTATGGAGGAAATATTTTTCACATCTTTAAATATATCAAACAATCACTTCATTTTACGGACGTAGTCCTACAGGTAAGATGCCGTTTCTCAGTTTCGATTGTACATGAACTAACCACTGACACTCAAACTCCAGAGAGAACATGCTTTAGGGTGTGACATCTTCAGGGTGGTTTGCAGGAATGGAACTGAACTTGAGATCAATGGACACACTTTACAATTAACACACCATTGGCGTTCGTGATGTGTTTCTGACAATTTTAATCACAACGTTTGTCGAAAGTTAGCGGAAAAGTTAGCCGAAAAGTTAGCCGAAAAGTTAGCCTTGCATGACAAAAGCTCGTAAGCTTTGCATCCAGCAAACAACCAAACAAAATACACAAGCAGCTAGATGTACTAAGCTGCTGAAGAAAAAAAGAATAGAAAAAAGAAGAAAAAAAGAACCTCCACCATGGGCAGCATTCAGCCACTTTGTGTATTTTGGTCTGCGTGGTACCAATGAGGGAGAAACTGGTCCGGCCCCTAAGCACTGATGAACCAGATCTTGTACCAAATCCAACCGGATACCGGCCGGATCTTTCGACCACACCCTCTTCAGGCCAGCTTTAAACTGACCAGAGTGGCGGCGCACACGGGGATTGAACCCGCGATCCTCTGCTCCGAAATCGCAGCAATGAACCACAAGGCCAACACCGTATACTGATTACCTCTGGTCTAATACCCTTTACATACTGTAGTTTCTAGTATTTCCCTCACTGCAGCCCATTGTGAGTAAGACTGAAGAGATGCTAACATATTTCAAGTAAGTTGTAGGAGACTAACTACTACCGGTATTGATAAGCTAAAATACTGGTAGCGGAGAAACTACGATTAATGGATGTCTATTCCAGTGTTGATAGTGGCTATTGCTACCGCAGTGGACTTTCATTATTAGCGACCATATCCAGTGTTAATGATACTTACCAGCGTGTGTGGTCAGAAAATGGCGGTTAAAATCATGTTGGGTCTAGTACTGGTGTGCTTAGCGGCTATTGCGATAAATGCAGATTGTCATCGCTAGCGCCTAATTCTTATGTTACCGGCATCTGCAAGCGGTAGTTGCAGGAATTTGGCGTCTAAAACCATAATATTAGCTTCTGATGCACACGTTGCTAGCGGCTATTACCGCGTTTGAAAATTTTCATTGCTAGGGATTCTTTCCTGTATTAATGACATTTGCCAGTGTTGGCAGCTGGAATATAGTGACTATAACCGTGTCATCTACTCCCACTCATGCTATTAGCAGCTATTTCCTGTGTTTGATAGTTGTCATGGCTAGCGGCTATTTCCTAAAAGTAGCGCTTTTAGCGATATGTGACTGCTTTGTGGGGTAGAATGTGGTGTCAACATCAGCTATTACCATGTTGCCGCTTCTAGTTCTGCTCGCTTTCTGTAGAAAATATATTTGTATTCCCGCGTTAGCGGCTATTTTTTAGTTGAATTTTTTTGTAATAAAGATAATGCAGTGATACATAAGACTAATGCATGGCACTATTTTGTCGATTCCGCTTTGGTTTGGCGTGCATGCGCAGTGTTGATGCCGATTCCCTTGATCAGATTTCTTGCCCCATCTCCACTGCTTCGGCTGCCATCGCTGTGTGCATTCCTGTGCTTTTTTGCCTGCGCTTGCACCTTGATGGACCCGTTTGTGGCTATCTTGAAGAAAAAAAAGGTACATGCGCATGTACATGCATAATAGTATGCACACTATATTGTACGGTCACAATCCGTCACTATTTTTTGCCTAGAAGTGTTTGATGCCGAGTTGCAACGCTGACGCCGAGGCCGCTAGTCGGTTGAGTTGCTTCCAGCACGTCGGTAGGTACGTCTTCCATACACACCCTGTGTCTTGTTTTTGTTGTTCGCTGCATGTTTTCCAGTAGGGCGGTGTTAATAGTAAAAAGGAGAACAGAGAAAGAGAAGTTTAGGACTATTAGCTTGAGTCAGGCAAGTGCTTTGATGTGTGTGGTGGTGTTCTTCTTCAGCAGCTAACAATAAAGTTTTGGATAAATTGCTACAAGTCGCGAACAGTGCATTTCAAGAAACTAACGCAAATATAAGCGCAAAACCAAGCGCAAAAAAATTCACGGTTCGCGTGAGACTCGGCCGAAGGCCCAGTTTTCCGCCATCCGCAAAAACGCCACCACCCTCTTGGATCAAAAAAAGTAGGTAAGTAAAGCGAGCGCAAAACTTACCAGATTTACCACTAATACCCCATTTACTCCTAATAACGCATTCACCCCTAATACACCATCTTCCGCTAATTTCCAATACTAAGAAAAATTTGGAAAAACCGGTGAGCCAGAACCATCCCCTTGTATTTCCAATACTTAGAAAATTTTCGAAAAAAACAGGTGAGCCAGAACCATCCTCTTCTATACTACTATCCGGTAGAAAACAGCAAGAAATAATATCTCGGTGCAAAAGAAGAAAAAGGAAATAAAAAGCCGCTTCATTTTAAAGGACCAAATGAAGAAAAGCAAAGAAATACCCACATCAGCACTAAATTGCACCTTAAATTATAAACAAAAACATGACGCGTCCATTAGCATTGAGGACACTGCCATTAGCGAGGTTATGCACACCACTGTTACATCCGTCCCTCAGCCATGGCTAGTGGGCGCAATGCATTTACCGGTCGATGGTATGCAGCGCGAGCCCCTCTGATGCACATAACTGCAGCTCGGAGGAGTGCAAACGACAGACGGCATCTGACATAGTGTAGTATCCCTGCCTGACCAATACGGAAGCAGTACGGAACTAATACGGAGCTTTGCCTGATGTATATTTAGTGTATCTCCGTAGGTACGCGTACAGCGTCTGCTGCATTAAAGCGGCTGCGCATTTCTGTTTTGAGGAAGATTAGATTAGATAGCAACGAAAGCTAACTCGAAGAAGAAGAAATCAACCTCTAGGTGAGCACCGGAGAGAAAGTTATTTATTTTGCCGCTTCTTTCTTCACTAATAATTATATCTCAGGTGTGTACCTGAAAGAAGTAGAATAAAACTAATTCTTGTTGATTTCACCGCGCCTACCACTCGGCCACCTGTTACATTGGTGGCAGCGGTGTGTGTAAAAAACAAAAACAAAAAAAACAACAAAACAACGTGATTCGACCCCAGACCCCCATGGCTCAACCCGCTGCAGCTCCGTGCGACGAATCAAGATGAGAATCATGTTTCTTGCCTTCCTGGGCCTGGCCCTGCTTATTAGCCTGCAGCACAGTCAGGGTGCTAGCGTGGATCACCCTTCTCTCCGCCCGGCATTTACTGGAGACTCCGATGGCGATTCCAAGCGACCCGCTATCTACATGTATACTACCGGTGGTGATGGCGAAGCTGATATGATGAGGACGACAACAGGCAGGCTGTTGCCCAAGACAAGGAGGGTATTCCCCAAGACCAGCAGCGTTTGATTTTTTGCCGGCACGCAGTCGGAAGCAGGATCCCACTCTTCACTTGGTACTTCGCCTCCGTGGTGGGATGCAGATTTTCGTCAATACTCTTCCTGGCTAGACCATCACTCTTTACGTAGCGCAAAGCGATGCTATCGACAATGTGAAGAACACGATTCAAGACGAGGAGGGAGGTTATTTGTCTGACGCCGAGCTAGCCCCTCTCAGTGATCGGCTCAACCAAGATGAAGATAAAACCTGGCTCGCCCTCACCCATAGCTCCAGCCGCCGCTGTGGTTACTAACGGTGATTCTAGGTATGGCATTTTCTTTCCTGTCTTCCTTCAGTCTCCCTGTTCTCTTCAGTCTTCCTTTATGCGAGTGTGTGAATCCAGTTTAGTTTGGTAGGCGTCTGATCATGGTGATCTTACCCAGCTAACGTGGGACAATGTGTGTGGCAACGCCTCTTATAGTTATAGTGTATTCAGTTCGGTTTTTGAACTGCGATGTTCCTGGCGGGTTGTGCCAGCGTTGTGCAGCAAGGGTGCTGTAGTTTTTCAGGTCCTGTTTGGAGGACGGTTCTTTCCCCTTTTGACCCCGTGAGATCGTGTGAACCTGGTGTGCTTTTACTTCTGTGTTATGATTTGTTATCAGTTCATTTCTTCTGTCTACTCTAAACGTTATCATTTCCGATATAATTTGCCATCTTCCGGTTGACGCTGTGTTCGTAACTCTTCACTATTTTTTTGAAAATCACGAGGGCGTGATTATCTGTAGGAAGGGAGGGTGTAGTATCCCTGCCCGACCAATAAAAAAGCAGTACGGAACTAATACGGAGCTTTGCCTGATGTCTATTAAATTTTAGTGTATCTCCGTATGTAAGCGTACGGCGTCTGCTGCATAAAATCGGCTGCGCATTTCTATTTCGAGGAAGATTAGATTAGATAGCAACGAAAGCTAACTCGAAGAAGAAGAATTCAACCTCTAGGTGAGCAACGGAGAGAAAGTTATTTATTTTGCCGCTTCTTCTTTCACTAATAATTATATCTGAGGTGTGTACCTGAAAGAAGTAGAATAAAACTAATTCTTATTGATTTCACCCCGCCTACCACTCAGCCACCTGTTACAATAGGCCATAACCTCGCCGTAGGGCTTGCCATCATGCTGTGCCAGCATAGCGCATAATCGCTTCAAAAACCGCAAGCATTCTGGGGATGCACTGCCAGCCGTGGTGAAGACAAGCGGGGTAAAGTTACCACGGTCAACATTGACAGTCCTTTCGCTATACTGCAGCTTCTTCTGCCTCTCGTGCTGGAGAAGGAGGTCAGCGATGGGCATCTTTGCGTACGAGGCGGCGTCAGGATGAAAGACTCGAATGTCAAGGAAAGTGTTCTGTGCCCTTGTCCAAAACCCACATATGCGGACGTCAGATCGGGCATC